AGGATGGCGCTTTTCACACTCCATTTGTTTAAGAAAATTAATCCGCACATAAAAATGGAGCATTACATGATGACGTGAGTTTTTAAAGTACAGAACGGAGTTGATGAAGCGTTATTTCTTCGCGAAGCCGTTCAGAACTTTTTATTAACCACTGAATCCTGCATGCGGAAATTATTATCGTTCAACGCTCACTATCCAGAAAGGCATAAGTGCGAAAGCTACGGTAATTTGATAGACTATGACAGCAAAGATAAGTCGTGGCTTGAATCAGAGTACGGTAAAAAATCAGTATAACGATTAACGTCCCTGGTATGAAACCACAGGGAAGACCCAGAAGAATTTGAATTTTTAACATATGACAATTTATGACAGAAAATGACTGGTCTGCTATGCTTTGAAGCTCTGAAATTTATGTACCTGTTAACAGCATTTCCACTTCATCTTCTTCTACAAAGTTGATGCAGAGCTGTGTGAAGTAATGCCATTCAGTAAGAGACAAAGACATTGTTTCTAAATCTGCAAAAGATATTCTGACTGGATCTCTGGTTTAACTTAAAGAAGACGAAATGCATGAAAGGTGGTCGAATTCGGAACAAAACCATTCTAACGCTTGCAATCGAAGTTGTGAAAATGGCACCAGAACATCTACATGTTGGAAGTGCATTGAGTCCAGACGAACGAATCGCGGACGAAATTAAGCGGCTCTTTTCATTGGCATTAACAGAGAGCGAGTTATTCAACCTCTATAAAAACAAAGCTGTTGACATTGGGAGAAAGCTGCGGATTTACAGGGTTTGCATTCTGATTATCTTACTCTGTGGCCTGGAGATGGCAGCACTTAACAAAGCTGAAAAAGGATGGAAATGAAGATTTTGAGGCCATCATTACGAGTTAGGAGTGAAATCGTACGATCTGGTGTCAACGGTTGTCGTCGGGAAGAAAATGTAGTATCCAACTGGTGACCGATTGGCTGTAGAAAAGGCACTAGAGATGGTGAGGCGATTGTCAGCAATTGGATGGTAACCGTAATGTGCAGCGAATACCGAATGCGAAGCGTACTGGCAGGCTATCAGACGGAAGACCTACAACAAGATGGTAAGATCTTGTACAATCCGTCATAGTGTCGAAAGGTTATGTGTTCCCAGTGCTAGATTGTACATGCTAATCGTTGATCTTAAGCCTACAGTCTACGCAACACATCAAGAAAAGGCGTATGTTGGGAGAAACGAGTAGAATAGGATATCGAATGAATGGGTAAAAGCGCTAACAGTAGTCTGCTGAATGAAGAAGAAAGTTGAGGTGGTAACTGGTAGGACAGGTTGCAAGAACAGCTGACCATTGTTGGACCCGAGGGACATTAGAGTGAGTTTCCAGAATTAGCGAATGATCCGTGGGAAGACTTTCAGATCGACAGAAGGATAAGTTGAAGAAGTTCGCTGGATGAAGAGGGATAAAAATCGCAGAAACAAGTTTATGGAGAAAATTGTATCCAGCTGTAGATGTACGAAGACTGATGATGATGTTGATCGATACAGTTGAGAATTGTAAACTCATTTTTTCTTCTCGTTATTTCACCCTGAAGAATGACGATCACCGGCCGATGTCCAGTCCTCATCCTCCTTCTGTACTCAATCTCACGAACCTTTGGGCCGGTTGCGCGCCACTCAGCCTTTGGAAAACATTTCGACCCCGTTTTTCCTCACGTTTCATCGATGCGACGTCATTTGTACGCGTCTGCTGCAAAACGTTCTGCGCTCCGCCGTCGCCTCCGCCACGACAGACACCCAGACCTCCGGTTAAGACATGACGTTTATGCCAA